ATTCTTCTGAGTATCAGATTATTAAAGATGACCTATTGAAGAATCTCTTCAGCCAAGAATCTCTTTTGGAAAACAAAATGATGCGTGATGCTTACTTTGTCTGGACTCTGGACGTTTGTGCACGAAGTGTTGGTATCGATCCCTCTTTCAGAAGCAATCTTTGCACAACTCCAGAGCAGAACTGACCCTCATTTGTGAGGCAGTTCGGCGTAAAATGATTAGCACAAACATACACTTTTCAATTTTTTTCCGGGACATTTCCTTCGAAAATGAAATTTAACCACCGTGTCCTCAGCGGTCTATGGAGACTCCTATGTTCGTTGGTGCATCCCAACACAATACACTTTTAATGGCTCTTTGGCGCTGACATTGTACCTCCAGCAGCTACTGCAAGAAAACAGTAATGGCGGACCGCTGCTTCTCACTCAGGGCTGTGTATATGCTAATAGGGCAGAGAGCATCACAAATGGGTGGGACTTTCCCCTAGTATGACGTCATAGTAGTGAGAAATCTGGAACTGCTAGTGTGGAGAGACTGTTTATGATTTATTGGGATTATAAAACAATGAGTGGGTGGATTTTTACCATTATAGGCTGGTTGTTTTCACACACTGCGGCCACACAACTGTGTTCAAACACCTTATAAAAGTGATTTTTGCATTCTATGGCACCTTTAATGTAGCATTAAACTGGTTTCAAGGGTTTTATTTTTCATTTTATTTGTTATTTGTTTGTTAATGTTATGTTATAATGTTACATTTTATTTGTTTAATTTATTTAACAAAATAAAATGGAATTTTAATAATGTCTTAACATGAAAATAATCATCTTATCAGACAGATTTTTGATATGTTTTTTTCTGGTGTTTCTCTTGTATTATTTCCCCTTATTCCCTTTAAATTAAACAATCTGCAATTGCTGCAAAATACCTTTACAATTAGGCTGGAATTTGGTCTGTGGCAAAATACAGAGCTTAAAATAGAAAAGCATATTTTAATGTGCCGGTTTATGAACTAACACCACAAATCCATTTGTAGAGTAGTTGAAAATTTTCCCCTAAGGTTTGAAAAAAACGAATGCATTAACAAAAACCAACAACTTAAGGCAACAGTTGTCAATGTGTCTCAGAACAACATATACACCTGCATTTTAATGTGCACAATGACTTGGTTCAGATGGACATATCTGCGGGGAAGATTTCACATAAAGCACATGCACGATCTGTCTCTAGGTTTCTATCTGTGCGGAGTGACCGTGGGCATGACAGCACTGAGAAGCTTTTGATTAGGTTTGATGCCTCCCTGTGGAGTCAGGAGGGTGGAGGGAAGGATCTGCACTGCTGTGATATCCCACCCCCCCGTAGGAGGGCCTGCCACAGTCAGATAGACCCGGCAGCCCGGGCCGTGGGTGGCGTTTAGCATTTGCATGTGGGCTTTCTCTTCTGTTTGCTGCCGCTGGGGGAAATTATAACAAACTTATTTTGCATAAACTTTTTCTTGCATGTTTGGTTTGGTTCTAAATAACAAATACACAGTTCTCCTCTTTGGTTTCTTGTAAATGACACTAGAAATCCATTGCATTTGTAAATAACGTTGTAAATTTGGAAAAGTAGAGAATAAGAAGCAGAATAAGATGCTTTAGTAGTGTCTGCAACATGACACTTGCCCATATTTGTCTGTTCGGTGTCTCTTGGCAAATAGCTTTGAGAATGTATCATTTTACTCTTATTGTGCAGTCCTGTCTGTTGCAAACAGCGCTAGTGTTTATTCTGCTATTGTGAGTTGAATAAACAGTATATTCTTAGTTCCGCTATGGCCTTTATCAACCACACAGCAATTTCAGTAAACCAGACATTGACACTTTAGATTTAATCTTGCTATAGTATCTCTTTATGTGCTGTGTCTAAGGAGGTTACCTGTCATTTCCTCACATCACAGCCTGAAGTTTAAATGCTTCAGGCTTGACATTTAGCCCACCTACTCAGAGTAGTATCACAGAGATTGGTACAATGCATTCTTGCTTTTTCTATATCTTTAGTAGAACAAGACAAGAAGAAAGATACCTGCCATTGAGCTCAAACATACAGTGGTACTACTGAATTATGATCTTATATATTTAGTAGCTAGAGAGGCATGCACTAGTAATAAACTGTGTCAGCCATTAGACCTCTCATTCTTTATCATTGCTGTGCCCTTTAACTATTTGAGTGGGCTTGTGTGGTTTTTTTTATGTGTCGTGGCTCGTGAGCTGTCAGACTGTCCTCATAGCTAAACTTGCGTCAATACATCCCACCATCCTAATTGTGCTACTAAAAACTGGTTGCAACTTGCATTAAAAATATTCAAACTTTTAACGGTTAAAAACATTATTAATGGTCCAAAATGAACATATTGAAATATTGAACATAATATTTTCATGATTTATTTGGACTTTTGTACATTAACATTTTTATTCTTTTAATATTGTAATTAATTTCAGTTTTGCTATCAGTGTTGTCTTTCTAATAACATGCTTTCAGCATCTTTCTCACACAGTGTCTTATATATTACTTATATATGGTGTTACTTTTTTTTTTACTTCATTTTGCAAACAAAGTTAGTTGTCTTACAATATCATGCAAGCTGCCTTTCTCACACTTAAATATGCTTTTAATAAATAAAATATATAGCCATTTTATATTTTAGGAAGAGTGGTGGGTCCCCAAATCATCATGATAGGAATCTTTTAGCATCAAGAAGTTTGAAAACCGCTGAGTTACAGTACATTTGGTGAAATGTCTTCAGATGGTTGAATCTGATGTTGTGTATGGAAGTATGTGGTTTCTCATAGAGTTAGACTCTGAGCCACGTGGCTATTCGCGCACTCAGTCGTACTGGGGTGTTGTCCAGGAATCCTAAACATTTCCGTCCTCCTTATCCTCCTCGGTGCAGTTCTCCAGGTCCGTCCTTCATCCACCCTGCTCTTCTCCCCATCCTCCATCTCCCAGACACGGCCAGCTCATTTCACTCCAGTAGCTCACAATGCTGCCCCCACGGGACGCTCCGCATTCTCTTTAATAACCTCACTATGAGCTAAAGAGAGAATTAGCTCTGATGGGCTCAAAGCGTGTCTATCTGGAGCTCATATATTATGTATGGGCCACTTGCAAATGAGGGGTTTTCTGCTCATGGTGGAGACACATGCTGGAGGAGAGTACCAGGTGATGGCACACAGGGACAGCCACCTAAAGACATCAAAGTATTTGCTAATGAGCAGCCTGCTCCTGGTTTAGTTTGCACTAGTGAGTGGGAGTTAAAGCACTGAAGCTTGATTTCAGTTCTATATGTCAGCCAGTGCCAACTTTAATATCAGTGACTCTCGGCATGTGTTTGGTTATAGGCTTCTGCAGTGTGTCTTCGAGCACCTGTATCAGAGTCCCTGTCCAGATTACAGCGGGATCAACTCCAGAAGTTTGCACAATACCTCATCAGTGAACTCCCACAGCAGGTGAGATGTGCATTATTTATTAGTTTTATAAATTGTAGAAATGGCCTCGTTTCTCATGGCTTCTCTGAGCTCCTAAGTGTCTTTTCACAGCTCTAAATAACTGTGATGAAGTGCACACAGTGGCCTCATTGTCCTTATTAGGGTGTGACTGCTCAGATTTCTCACAGTTCGGTTTTTATCATGGTTCTGTGGTCATGGCTTTGGTGTGGTTCTGTAAATGCTTAAAAGGCGGATAACAATAACTAATAATATTTACATTGCAAATGCTAATATTTTTTGTGTGTATAATATGTTTAGTATTTTTTCAAACACAAGTTATTTAATAAGCAATAATATACAAATATAAAATAAAAATGATTGTAAAATATATATTTTCAATAAAATATTCTTATTACATATGTAGTAATATGTAAATGTTTAATATAGTGTATTGACGGAATCTCACTTCCTTTTCTTCAGTAACACCATCTCAGAACAAAACATTTTTTTTTTTTTTGTCTTTAATGATACATTCATTTCTGGCTTTGTGATTTGTTTTGTATCTGCAGATCTTGCCGACAGCTCAGCGTCTTTTGGATGAGCTTCTGTCCTCCCAGTCTACCGCTATTAACACCGTGTGTGGAGCCCCGGGTATGGAATGACCTACAAACCACAATTAATGAATTTCTAAATTTCTCATTCTCTGTGAAGGCTTGAGGACCTTGTAAAATCCTAATTTTTCTTCTCTAACGATTTGTTTAAAAGATCCTACTGCTGGCCCTTCAGCCTCTGACCAGAGCACCTGGTATCTAGATGAGATTGTAACATTGCAATCTAAAAACAAAAATAAGACTTTTAAAGCGGAAGTTAAATTCACTTGTGTTGTAAATTGAGTTGTGTTAGGCTATTTTGATTACCCCATTACAGTCATTTTACAGTTAATGCTATCATAAAAATAGACTTACTTGTAGGTTTAAAATTCTACATGTCACATTTATTGTCCAACTACAAATATTTCAGCGAAATGTATATTTTAGTCAGAATTATTGCGCTCCTATTTAATTGAGCTCTGTCTGTTTGGCACGGTGGCGCTCGTTCACTGAATCTGTGAAGTTTAGTGGAGAATCCCAAAGCAGAAGCCTCACGCACTTCTGAAAAATGGAAATATTTCCATGGCTTTCTAACATTTACAGATGGAGAATATACACCGTGAAATGTAAGTTATGCATTCAGGAAGACAGCACATCTCAAACACATTAAACAGCGCAAGTAGCCTAGTGTCTCTGTCAGTGGCACATGCAGCCTTTCTGTCGGAGCATATGACGGGCCGAGCTGCTTAAATTTGCCTGTCTGGTACTACCTATAGCTAGGGCTAGGCGACATGGGCAAAAATTAATATCTCTGTATTTTTTGGCCGATTTGCGATAGTGTCTCTGTCAGTGGCACATGCAGCCTTTCTGTCGGAGCATATGACGGGCCGAGCTGCTTAAATTAATATGCGAAACGAAACTATTAACTATGTCTTACTAGTTTTTAAAGGCCTTAATATGAAGCTTGTCACATGTTTAGAACAAATTGGATTATGCACTTTCTCCGCAGCAGCTCAGTCTGTGTCCTCCGCTATATTTTCAGATGTGCTCGTATCAAACTACTGTATATCGATATAAACTGTATTGCCTCATATTGAATCGCTTATAAAGAAAATATCGATATATCGTACAAACTCGATATACCGCCCAGCCCTACCTATAGCACAATCTCCTGATATCATCTATGTTCTGAAAAAGAGTTTCCTAATGAGGCATACTTGAGCAGGTTCCCTGTGGGGTACTTTTTCACAGATTTTGCTTTAAATTTTCACTTGAAAAATGAAAAACAACCTCAAATTTGTAATGGCTTAACACATTTAGTTACTTCTTTTAAAGGGAGAAAAACTTTTTTTTTTAAGTTGTGTGGATGAAGATGAACAGCAAACAGATGGATGAAAAACAGACAGAACTAACTGTTCTTTTTGTCGCTCGCTTGTTGTTCTCAGTGATGTGAACTCCATGTACCTGTCATCCACTGAGCCTCCGGCAGCTGCCGAATGGGCTTGTTTGCTGAGGCCCCTGCGAGGTAGAGAGCCAGAGGGCATCTGGAACCTTTTGTCCATCGTCAGAGAGATGTTTAAGAGGAGAGACAGCAACGCTGCACCTCTGTTAGAAATCCTCACCGAACAGTGTCTCACTTATGAACAGGTACAAAACTGACCCGGCCACACTTCACACACCAGGGTGATGGTTTCATGTGTACAAAATCGCATCATCCTGATGCAAACACCCGTCACATTTAAACCATAGCAAATTCATAGGAATGTCTACAGCCAAATGTTTGTGGACACCCTAAATAATAATTTCTTAATTTTTGTTGCATACAGGTTTATTTGGGGAAATTATATAATATCCTAAAACGTCTATTAAATATATTCTGCCATTTGGAACTACAAGTGAAGCATTTCAAATTTATAGATTTTTTTTTCTCATTTTTAAAATTATAGTATCCATATAACATTTAATGTTTTTTATTAGACTTAGAACCTCATATTTTAACTTAATTAATTTAGTTATTTTTAATTAATTTCCAGAAAGGAAATCATATGTTTTGTTTTTGACTGTGTCTGATTAATATTTGTTTGGAGATGCGTTTTACTCTGACGTCTCTGTTCTAATGATAGTCTACTGCTCTCTCTGTATTTCCTCCAGATCATTGGCTGGTGGTATAGTGTGAGGACATCGGCCTCTCACAGCAGTGCTAGTGGGCACACAGGTCGCAGTAATGGCCAGACAGAGGTTGCAGCACATGCGTGTGCCAGCATGTGTGATGAAATGGTTGTTTTATGGAGACTGGCAGTGCTAGACCCTACCATGAGTCCCCAGAGGTGAGCAAGTTGGAACAGCTGGTTAGACTCTAAAGAACTAGTGATTCATGTTTGTTGTGACTTTGATCTAGATTACCTTAAAGATTTGTGGCTGTATTTGTCACCACTAAGGTAGGGTAATGTTCTTTCGCTTGTCTATTTGTGACTCTTCAGGCGTTTAGAACTTGCTGCCCAGCTAAAGCAGTGGCACCTGAAGGTAATAGAGATTGTGAAACGGGGGCAGCACCGCAAGTCTCTTGACAAACTCTTCCAGGGCTTCAAACCAGCTGTGGAGTGCTGCTACTTCAACTGGGAAGTGGCCTACCCTTTACCTGGCATCACCTATTGCAGCGCAGATAAGAAAAACGCCTCGTTTTGTTGGGTCAGGACGGTGCAGCAGCAGCGGGGCGCTAAAGCTGGGACCAGTGGGGAACCAGGAGAAGGAGCTCGCAGTGGAATGTCAGAAGGTACTTCCTCTGAACAAAAGTCATGGTGCAACTCTCATCTTCCCCAGCAGGAGGTGGCTGTCCGCCCTAAGGAGACCATTGTGAGCAAGAGAAAAGGAGTGTCAGGTGTGAATAGTGGAGGCGTGCTGGTTTGTCTGGGTGGAAGGGTCTCTCTCTCACTTCAGGAGGGAGGTAAAGGCATGTATAAAGCCAGTAGCTCCTCCCCATCAGCTGGTAGTAAGGCCAAGCTTACACAGAGCAACAAGGGTTCATGTGGAAGTTCGAGTGGCGTCAGTGGGAAGCACCCCAGCGCTAAACGGCGAACTAGCAGTGAGGACAGCTCTCTAGAGCCTGACATGGCAGAGCTGAGTCTGGATGATGGTTCCAGTCTGGCGCTTGGAGCGGAGGCCTCTAACACCTTTGATTTCCTTCCTCCTCCACCAGAGATGTTGCCCTCACCCAGCCCTCTTCTCCGAGAGCCACTCAAATACAGTGGTAACGCTTCAAAAGAGCGTGCATATGAGACAAAACGTGTGCTGCCCTCTGCTGCTGATGCCCATGCCTGCTCCATTGCAATTCCAGTAGTGGTAGCTATGGAGAAAGAGGTGGAAGTGGAGGCAGATCTGGATGAGAACGGAGGAGATGAGGACCCCGTAGATGATACTCGGCCCTCTGCAGCGCTCCCCAGCAAGGCTCAGCGGGGCCGCAGAGAGGGAGATGGAAGCGTTGTTTCAGGGGCCTCAGGACCTCAGGCAGTTGAGGCAGCAGCAGGAGCAGATGCTGTGTGTGAAGATGACTATCAAGCGTATTACCTTAGTGCTGCATCAGAAGAGGGAGCAGATAGAGGGGTTGCAGACAGCAGCCATGAAGAAGAGCCAGACATCTTTGCTGGGATTAAACCTCTGGAGCAGGAGGGCAGGATGGAGGTGAATAATTTTTTTCTCTCAAACACATAATGTGCTGAAAAGTATGAATTAACACTCCGTGAGAGCTAAATGTAACCTTGTATCTTCTTACTAACTTTTGTCTCAGCGGAAAATTTATCTACTTTATCTGGGATACTTAAATTATAATTTATAATAATTTATAAGTTATAAATTATAATTAAATGTATATTTTTAAACATTTTTTTGGTGCTAATTTTGGACCACTTTTTTATTGTTTAAAATGTTATTTTATTCAGATTTAATTGCGCTAATTTTAAAAGGTTTTCAATGGTAAAATGGTGTGTTGCAGATACTTTTTGCCTGTGTGGAGGCTCTCTATGCTCATGGCTATAGTAATGAAGCGTGCCGACTGGCTGTTGATCTTGCTCGAGATCTGCTGGCTAACCCTCCTGACCTGAAGGTGGAGCAGCCGCAGACAAAGGTAGTGAAACAGCCTTTTTTCAGTGTTTTCTCAGAGGTTTCAGCTGTGACGTACAATCATGCTTGGGCTCACCTTTGAAAATTAATCTCTGTCTTGTTTAGGGTAAAAAGAGTAAGGTGTCGACCAGTAAACAGACACAGGTGGCCACTAACACCCTGTCTAAAGTAGCCTTCCTGCTGACTGTGTTGAGTGAGAGGCTGGAGCTCCATAACCTGGCATTCAACACTGGCATGTTCTCCCTGGAGCTGCAGAGACCGCCAGCTTCTACTAAAGCTCTAGAGGTAAAGCAGAAGTTATGTTCATCCCATAAACCTGGTGATGATCTGCTAGTATGACAATTTAGTTTCTTGTTGCAGATGTGACTGGTTTGGCTGATATAGGAAGTCTGTAATATCATAATAGCATTAATATTGAGACACAAATTGGAAAGAGTTTAGCAAGATTTACACTTTGAAAATGACACCACAAACTAAAAATGCATTGTAATGTTTTGATGCCTGATGTCCAGTGAAGTATTTTGAGTGCCATAATTTTGAGCTACTGTGCTCTTATGTTAGGTGAAGCTGGCATATCAGGAGTCAGAGGTGGTGGCTCTGCTGAAGAAGATTCCTCTGGGTCTTGTAGAAATGACTTCCATAAGGGACCGAGCAGAGCAGCTCCGTGATGGAAACTTCTGCGACTATCGTCCGGTTCTACCTCTCATGCTGGCAAGCTTCATATTTGACGTACTCTGCACCCCTGGTAAGTCACACATCTACCTTTTCCCACCATTTTAAAAATGTTCTTTAAAAGCCTCAAAATCCCCATGCTCATTTTTCATGTTTTTTTTTTATCCTTTCACTTGCCTGTTGCAGTGGTCTCTCCCACGGGCTCTCGACCTCCTAGTCGGAACCGTAACAATGAAATGCCTGGTGATGAGGAGCTGGGATTTGATGCAGCTGTAGCAGCTCTTGGTAAGAATCAATTTATGTGAAGAAAAAAAAAGCACAAAACCAACCAGCACTAATGTGTTTTGTTAAAGATATTCTCTTTCTTTCTGTGTTTCAATTGTCTCTCCTTTTCTTATCTTCTCTCTTTTTTTAAGGTATGAAGACAACGGTCAGTGAGGCAGAGCATCCTCTGCTGTGTGAAGGGACACGGAGAGAGAAAGGAGACCTGGCTCTAGCACTAATGATCACCTATAAAGATGACCAAAGCAAGCTTAAAAAGGCAAGTGTTTTGACATTATACATGCAATATACAGTACATCAGCTAACGTTACAGTCTTCGGAAGCAATGTGAATGGACTGGAATATAAACTACCATTCAAAAGTTTGAGGTTGTTGAGATTTTTAAAAATATCTTACCAGCTTACCAGGGCTGCTTTTATTTGATCAAAATTACAGTAAATCAGCAATATTGTGAAATATTATTACAATTTAAAATAACGGTTTTATATTTTAAAATTAAATTTATTCTTCTGATGGCAAAGCTGAATTTTCACCTGCCATTACTCCAGTCTTCTAAGGGTTTCGAAATTAATTGTTTCTTCGATGCATCACGATGCAGACGAGGGCGATTCGGTATCAGTTCAGTAATAGACCAAAACCGATTATAACGTACTGACGCTTTTCTGATGCCATTTGTCGCATACGTGCTTTGTCGTGGTAGCATACATTTGGCGCGTTCAGCTTGAAGCGCCGCTGCGCAGAATGATCAGTGTATGACCAAGTCCCGCAAGAGCGATAAGAGAGCAGATGGATCCTTATGCTTAAAAGTGCTCCAACTACTTTAAAAGCCGACATCTGGCCACATTTCGGCTTTTATGAACAACCTGAGCACGACCTGGAGAAGACACACGCTGTGTGTAAATCATGACACGCACAATGAAATATGTAGGGGGTAGGGATGGGCAAATGAAGCCTCAGTGAAGCACTGAGGCTTTCCTCTGACTGTTTCGGGAAAAGATTCAAAGCTTCGAGTGTCCGAAACAAGCGCCGTCTGGTGGTTCATAAAAAATATAGCAGCCAAAAGCCTGTGAAAGACGCTCCGTAGGACGAGGCATCTACCACATACTCCACTGATCGATTCAAGTTACGTGCACAAATAAAAGCTTAACAGTCTGTGTTTGTTGAATTTCTGTCTCTGATAAATTCATTTACCCATTAAACTGTGCAATTAATTACCAGTACGAATATCAATATGATGTAATAGAAGAATAATGTACTCATATGAATTGCATATGACAATATTGAATTTTTCTGAAATAATTTGTATTCATATTACTTATATGACTGGGTATCTAAAATGTAACTGAATAAGTACGAATTAAAACTTATTCGTAAAGTCAGATCTGGGGGATCGAACATTTGGACACGCAAAGTGAATCACGCACGTGGCTGGACAGAAAGTGAAGCTTCATTTGTCATTGGTCACGTGATTTCTATGACAATTAACAACACAACACAAGCTTCGAATCGAGGCTTCATCTAGCACGCCCATTTATTCTCGACACAAGCTCCGATGCCTCGGTTCAAATGTCACATCACTAGCAGGGGGTAATACCACTAACTTAAGAAACCAGGTCAGGTACAGTTCATATATCTGACTGCTTGTATTTATTGACAAAATTGTATAAATGTGAAGTAAAATGGAAAAATGAGGATGCAGTGCATTGTCAATGCATTGTGATGCATCGTGATATCGAATTGAACCGAATCGATGACATGATAATCGTAACCGAACCGTGAGACCAGTGTAGGTTCACACCCCTACAGTCTTCAGTGTCAGAAATCTTTCTAATATGCTGATATGGTGCTGAAGATGAGATAAATGGTAAGATCATAAATACTGAAAAGTATTAATTTTCTTAAAAATATCTTACTGACTTTTGAATGTACGTAATTTATTCAGGTTAGCTATCCCTTTAGGAACATCCATACTTATGCTGAGTGTATCATGTTTAAAATGCAGTGAATGCCTTAAACTATTAATGTTTGATTTCATCCTTGTGTAGATTCTGGACAAGCTCCTGGATCGTGAGAGCCAGACCCATAAGCCTCAGACTCTGAGCTCCTTTTACTCTAGCAAACCAGCCACAAGCAGCCAAAAGAGCCCATCCAAACACGCCACCCATGGTGCCAGCGGATCGACGGGGGGAGTGTCAAAGCACACCCCTGCAGCAACATCATCTGCTGTGCAGGGCGTGACCGGCGGGGGAGCGGCAGGGCAGCAGGGCAGTTTAGTGGGTAGTGGAGTTCAGAGTGCAGTGACAGGAGAGGGCATCGCTGACAACAGAGATCAAGGTGAATCACATCCACCAAAGTATTATGAGTAGACACTTACATTTCAGAGGGAAATTCACTGCTGAAATGTTATTGTCTTGGGTCCTTGTGGTGTTGGTAGTGACCCAGTTTAATTTTATCTCATTCGTACTACTTGCTTTGGCAGAGGGTGCACAGACAACCTCCTGTGAGCAGCAGAGCGAAGCTGCACCCTTCAAGCCTGAGTGCACTGTGCCCAGTCGTTTGGCACTGGGGGGTCGCGGGGCATACGGCACGCGCTGCTGGGGATCACCTGTACGGCAGAAAAAGAAACACACTGGTGAGAGACAGTGGGTTTGTTACTTAGACAGAAGAGTACATTTGATGCAGCACCTGTGTTCTTTATTTTTGTCACGAGAGGCCAAAAATCACTGCAAAAATTCATACAAATTTATATCACTTATTCACCCGCTAGCCTTTTTAAAGTTATTTTAAAATAGTGCTGGGCAATGATTAATCGCATCCAAAATAAAAGTTTTTGTTTACATAATATATGTGTTCTGTGTATATAAATACACACACATGCATGTTTATTTAAAGTCCCCCTGTGGTGAAAATCAAGTTTTTTTTATGTTGTTTATTTGTCTATGTGGTGTTTTTAATATGCTTTTAGAAGAACCATGTGCCAATCCATTTATCAACACCATTGCTGAGTATTTTCTCCTTAAAGCAGCACTATGTAACTTTTTCTGTGTTCAAAATTTGCAAAATGTATATAATGAGCGAGTACATCATGAATTAATCTTCCAAACCGCGTTTTTGTCTTATTCTGAATCACTACGGTACACTTATAATAAGTACTTATATTTGGACTATTGTAGCCTGGTCGGGTCGTCACCGCTGCGGAGTAACACATACCTGCGTGAATCGCCATAAACATAAACTTAGAGAAGTAGCTCCAGTTGGAATGTTCTTCCGCGGGATGTGTGCAGTTCTGTTTATTAACCGCTAGAGCGCCAAAAGTTACATAGTGCTGCTTTAAAACAGTAGTTTCCCAAAGGCAGTCATAGAAACGCGGTTTGAAACAGCCTTTTTTTGCTACGTCACAAAATTCAATAACCAATCGCGTCAAGGGATCCTATCCTTAGCATATCATTAACTGTGCTGCAAAGCAGAGGGTCTAGTGAGAAGGCAGCCAGGTTAATTCGGTAACAGTTATATTTTTTTCTGTAGATGTTTCGCTAACTGTTAATATTTCCCCCAATTTTCACGATGTCATGTGCTGTTAGTGCTTATTTATTTGTATTTAGAACCGCTAACTTGAATAATAACCCGTGGCAGCAGTGTAAAAGTAGCCCACTGTCAGACCCACCTCTCCCACATTGGCATCCGCTCTTCACTCGCGGGCGCGAACTGGAATCACAAACTTGGCTGCATTCGAGTATTCAAAGAA